TATATTAATTTATCAGCTCCTGAAGTTTTAGGTCCTGAAAAATACGATAAATCTTGTGATATGTGGTCACTTGGGGTGATAAGCTACATTCTGTAAGTTATTAAAATTCTTATATCTAGCCTTTGTGGTTATCCTCCCTTCTACAGTCACAATGGCCAGCCGATTTCGCCTGGAATGAAGACTCGAATACGAAATGGCCAATACGCTTTTCCTGCCTCAGAATGGGCAAACGTTTCAGAAGACGGTAACTACGTTTTTTGACCTAACCCTCATCAGCTTGACAAAAATATTTCTTGATGTATATTTCTTTGTTTTGTATTAATTATTATGTATTTTCTTTTTTGTCCATTTATTTTTATTATCTGAGCTCATAAAACACATGGAGATATATTCAAAAGCATTTTTATCTATATCTATCTCCTATTTAGCCAAGGATCTCATCAGAAAGCTTCTTCTGACTGAGCCTGATCGACGTCTTACGATCACTGAAGTTATGAAACATCCTTGGATTTCTCAGCATACTCGTGTCCCAATGACGCCTCTAGCCACTAAGAAGATCCTTTGCGAAGAGAAATTTGCCTGGGAGCATGTGAAGGTAAGACTAGAATCCATGCCTAGTCGTTAACAAACTATTTTTGAGCAGACGTATGATAATCAGAAGGCCTACGCATTTTGCGACCATTCTCTCTAATTTTCAGTCTCTGCCACGTGTTTGGCGATTGATCATTGGACCCAGCTGACTAAACATGAAAAAGAATGGTTTTAAAAGCGTAGGTTTGCCGATTATGGCGCGTCTGTTGTTAAAAAGATAGATAAGAGAAGCTATTGGAAGTATTCACCTTATTCCGGTTAAGGTGATTAAGGACTAGTAGTTGAATTTCCCCATATGTTACCTTACGTTTCCATTAAATTTCACATAGCGTTGCCTTCCAAAGAGTTTTATCATTCAGTGTAGACTGCAGTTTCGACCTTGCCTAGATGTTATCAGCATTCCAAGCCGGACTTGAATCATGATATTACAGCATATAATGTAGACACGTTAACCACTATGCTGCACTGTCATGAACGCCCTTGGGTCAGGACATGGGTGAATTTTAAGGAAAGCTAGACATTTTCATTATCACATTCTGTGAAAGGATTTCCTTCTTGTGCGGTTAAACTATATATTTTTAGAAATTATTTGACCTTGTTTTCGCAACTCGGTCATATTGGTAGGAAGACTTAGAGGAACGCACCTTGTCCGGAG